TCAAGGACTGAGCTCAAATGTTCTACATGCTAGATTTTGTTTTATTAGTAATCTACTGACTGTCTCTGGTCAGTAAATATCACCATAAATCTAATCCAATCTGCATTATAAACATGAACAAAAAGGCAAGGGAAACAATGATATTTTTATCACAGTCTGCACAGGAGCTCCAAAAGAAAAATTTACCTGTTGTGTTATATAATTGATAAGCAGTTTACTTCATTTTCTTCTTTGCACAGAGTTGATAATATATTTGCTACATTTAATTTTCATAGAACTCCATCAATGTCCTCTTACATGCCAGGCCTGCCATCAAGGGAGTTTAACATGACTTTATCACCCAAAATGGTAGCTCTATGTGCCTCGCCTCCTTACTTTTTTACCCAAGTTGGGATCTCATCACATTGCACATTTTTCTTGCCATTAAGCAACCTTTGAATTTAGCCAAAGGTAGGGAAACACATAACTGGATTAAATTGTATAACAAGCAGCTAGTGAAACTTGAGTTGGGGCTGCTGTTATCACCAGCATCACCTTGAAAAAGTCCCTTTCTGTTTACTTTTGTTTGCTGATTCTTAAAATTAAAAGCCCAAGACCACGCCAGTCACAGTCAGTCTAGACACATGGCTAAATCACCTATTTACTGCCAAAAGTGATTAAAGAAGGCAGTGCCAGAACAGTAAACAGTATTAGCCCTTGACTTCCTGCAGATGTAGGTATTTAGAGCTCTCAGATGTTCTGCCTTTTTAAATGCATTTGTTGCCTACAGCAAACACTTGTATCCAAACACACTGTTTTTAAGATTGTTGGGGTGGGCCATTTTCTGGCCCTGGGGTAATTGAAGGATTATTTCAGTTATTAATTATATTATGGGATCTGTTTTTTTTTATTCCAAAGTTACTGTTGTAAGGACAACACCATTTTTATAAGGGATTTTAATATTATTGTTGTTTCATTGAAATTCTATCAGAAATAAGAAGAGAAGCCAACTCTGTGTGTGTGCGTGCGTGTGTGTGTAGAGTATTTGGAATTAAAGAAATGTCAGGAATTAAATACTCTGAAATGAAAATGTGCTCATAGCCTTCTGCCTCCCCAGATTGCAGTGAAAAAAAAGCATCTGTTCTTATACTTGGAAATGCATTTCAAAATGTATGGAGAAAGTGGTGACTTTAAAAGGAAGCAAAACTTTGCTTTTCCTCTTGACAACTGTGTTAAAGTGGACAGTAACATTTAAAAAAAATGAAGGTAGAGGAAGGGGAGAAAAGGGGGAATTAAGTATAAATCCTCAGCTGCCAATCCTGGCAAATGTTGTTTCCTGTTGGATTAACAAGCTATTTGCTTAAAGAGAGAGGACACTGAACAGAGGAGAAGACTTTTGCTACTCCTCGAAGCCACATTAGAGGACTTATTTTATAGATAAAAAGGTGCTTTCTTTGGTATGGAATAAAGCCTGCAGTCTAGCCATGCTTTGTTGGGAATCAACCTCATTATTTTCAGTACAGTACTTTTGAGAAAAAAATGGATAATCACACCTTAAACGTTGCATCTTGGAATTCTGTTGTACACAATATATCATTACCATTTTTTAAATCTGTAATTTAGAAGTCAACCCTCAAAAAAAGTTTTGATGAAGTAAATTCTTCCTTACCACCATTCTAATCCACCATGTGGTATTTGTATGTGGCAAACTAGTGTTAGCCAAGTAATTGGAAAAAAAGGTAACACTGACATAAGAGTTATTGGAAAGCTTATATACTTGGGATGCTTTGTGTTCTGTATGTATTTTAAGTGGAGAGCCATGATAATAGAATGGCTTCAAAGCCCTCTTGTAATATATTTTCTCTTTTATAGTTCTTATGTTCCAGTTTCCCTACAAATGAATTTGCATCTAGTTGGAAAGATGTATGTATTGTTCTGAGCTGAGAATAATTTGAGGTCACAAAAGAAGGCCAGAAAAAGCAAAAATATCCATTGTAAAATTATTCTGGGCTAAACATTGGTTGATCTAACACCAGTTTTGTCTGCTCTAGGGATAAGTCTAGAATGCCAGGTTCTTTCAGCCTTTTGGAACTTTGTAATGAGAAATGTCAGGTTGATTCATGTCTGTCACTTTCTCAAGTATGTGAGCATTCATCTACAAACCATCCTTTTCACCTGTATGCCAGTGAGTCACCTAGTCTGTTTGACCTTTGCTGTATTGTAATATCTGCTAATTAATTGAGCACTGTTAGTTAGGCAACATGTAAGAACTACACATACATTACATGTTTGCATTGTCAACCTATCTGGGAATGACTACCTCCTTCTATGACCTTCTGTCATAGAAGAAACAGAATTGGTAAGAAAAAGGGGATCTGCAGATGAAACGAGTAGGACACCCTGCTAAGACTGAGATGAGGGAAGGGGGAGAATTACATAATGTGATTTGATATTGACTTGGGGAATTTATTTTTATCATAAATTGATTAGAATACAGAGAGTAAATGGCATAAAAATAAATTGCAATCATCCGTTCAGGATGTTGCTAGATCTCAACAGTTCAGAAATGGTTGCAGCTAGTACTTTAGATGTTACTATGCAAACAGATTCCTTATTACCTCATGCCACCTAGAAATCTGCAGAAGCTGTATTTAAAGTTCCCTTTCAGTCTTATAGACTTGCTTTCTCAGAGGGAACGCAACCCCAAGAGCCTTTTTTTTTTTTTTACAGACAAACAGCACTTTTTATTTTCTGGATTTAATTTGTTTCCCCTCATATAGTCTCATATTATTGAAGTTAGGCAACTTTTTCAGTTAGATGGTAAGGAAAAGTTGATGTCCCCCATCTTCAAACTGTAGTTGCATTTCAAAAGTATATTGGATACCATACGAGAGCCACATTTCATTTTTAGCTTTCTAAATTAATTTTCTTTTATGTTTTACAAGGGTCTTTAAACTTGGCAAGTTTAAGACTTGTGGACTTCAGCTCCCAGAATTCCTGAGCTAATATGACTGGAGGAGGAATTCTGGGAGTTGAAGTCCACAAGTCTTAAGGCTGTCAAGTTTGAAGATCCCTGTTTTACAAAAATAAAATACAGTAAATGGAGCATAATCATATATAATGTAGTTATTTTCGTGCAGTGCTACATGCTGTATTGTAATCTATATGTGAATGCAATTTTAACCTCACTATACTATGGTGAATGACCATAGTATAATTTAGTGGAATCACCTGCTAGTACACCTGCCTCTACAGATTATTAGAGTATATCATTTTGTGTCAATTGCTGCTATTCTGTGGGTACTGTTTTCCTGCACCTGCTACTTTAGCCTCAGAATTGTGTGAAGGTCTAAGAAATTACCTAGGGAAATTACCTTTATTGCTCACTGATTGTCTGTTCCTGGATTTGAAATGTAATACAAAGAACATTATGAGTCTACATAAATGTTGTATAAAATGTTTTTTTTATAATCTAGATTGTAGATTCTCCTAAATTACATTCTGTTAATGAATGAAAGTTAAATTTTTACTTAAGCATGGCACTTTATAGTACAATTAATGAGAATCCATTTTTAAGCATGAATATGAACATTTAGTAGAAAATTACCTGCCTTGTTCTGTTGTTATGCTTGGGGCTGCTGGTTGGAGGAAAAAAGAAAAGGTCTTACATGAAAAAGTGTTACAACATCGATTCTCCCAATAGAAGTAATAAGAAAGCATAAGGAAAAAGGATAAGGAAGTTACTTAAGATGGAATAAACTAAATTATGTTACAAAATGTCACACATAAATTTGTGGACATCGATTCTCCCAATAGGAGAATGAAAAGTATGAAAAAAGATGTTTTGTAAAATGATCACGAGAAAGAAGCTGGGATTGAGAAAAATTAGTGAAATTAATTAAAAGTATATGAGAAACATTTGCTGCAAAAAATGAAGGCAAGAAAAAGATAGTTTTGTTTAAAGAAATGAAAAAGAAATGGTAAAGAATATAATTAAAGACCAAAGAATGATTCATATTAAAAAGGCAGAGTTCAGAGTAATTTTGGGGAGTTGTTAAAACTGATTTGAAAGTGGGTAAAATAACAAACTTTCGATGTAGTCAGTAGAATTAAGAAAGTGATTATTTGGGTTTGTAGTTAATGCTGGAAAGAGGATTTGTATGGGAATGATTGAAGAATGGAATTAAAATAAATGATAATGCTAGTGTGCAAAGAAAAATGATAAAAAGGGAATAATACATTTTGAAATGTATTTTAATACCCCAATAAGGTTGCAGGTGTAACCACAATATAACTGAAGATATATTACATGCAGATGAGTTACCATGTGTTAAGATTGTATCTGTGACTGATGTTTGGAAGAATAGCATTTTTCCTTTTATGAAAAGTGAAGTGAAAGGTTTTGCACATCTTGGAAAGGAATGATGTGCAGCCTTTCCCTTTGTTTATCATTTTTACATAGCTCCATTTATCTATACTGATGGCTCTGAAAAAAATAACAGTAGAAATTTACAATGGATGAGATGAAATCTGGTTGAAAACACTGAATCTTATCAAGAAAGCTGGAAGGTTTTTTTCTTTAAGCTATAGAGCTGGAAGCTGGGCATCCAAAATGCCAGAAAAAAAATAGCAACCAGTTAAATATGCCTAAAGCCCCAGCAACTGAAGCAGATAAAAATAATGCAAGGGCAGGGCCAGGAAAGGGTCCAGTGGTCACTGACCTTTGTAGTTGGACTTGAAATAGAAAACTAAAACATACCCTAGTGAGACAGGCCCAGGAAGGGGTCAAGCATGTGAAATAGTCCTGAAGCAGATTGGTGTGGTGATATGTGGCCTAACAAAGGAGGGGGAGCAGTGGGAGAAGCCTATTGAAGAAGCCTCCATAGCAGGTATCTATTAGAGAGACCCAACAGCAGAAAGCAGGTTCCAAGTGAGAAGATGCACTAATGCGGTTCTCATTATATCATGTAGGCATCTTTAAGCAAGCTTTTCACCAGCCTAGTAGTCCACAAAGGGGCTTGAGGAAGCACTGCAGGTAACCAGGACAAATAATGAAAATAACATTGAGTCATTCCTTGAAAGACAATCTATCCTCTAACCAAACTCCCAAGGGGCCAACTAATTAGGGTCAGTTATCACCTGTGCCTGTAACCATCCTGAGTGAAGTGAATTATAAAAGTTAATGCAACAAGTACAGGGAGATTAATTTGTTAAATTAATGAGGTTAATGTGTTTATTGGTGTATTTATGAAACCCATTATATTTATATGATTTATTGTTCTGGGGTTTGTTTTTAAGTTCAGGTTGCCTGTTTATGTATGTTTAATTGTTTTATTGTTTTCTGGATTTTATAAGCTGCCCAGAGTCTAATGGTGTGAGCAGCTATAACAAATTTAATAAATTAAATATCCTGGCAATTATTTCTGGATTCTGATTGAAAAAGTGTAAGGTAAACATAAGTAATTAAAAACTTCAAAAATGTAGTCTGGTTTTATACCAAACAAAGGATGTGTAGGCAGGTGTTTGTTCTTCAAAAAGCCCTTGAAATATGGTTTAATATGAGAAGTGATAAATTGTACTGCTTTAGAAAAAGCATATAATCAAGTGAATATGTTTGACTTAGAGAATATTTTGTACAAACTTGAACTTTTAAGACTAGTTGCTGAATGTAATACGAGCACACCATGAAGTATACTGCTCAAAAAAATAAAGGGAACACTTAAACAACACAATGTAACTCCAAGTCAATCACACTTCTGTGAAATCAAACTGTCCACTTAGATAGCAACACTGATTGACAATCAATTTCACATGCTGTTGTGCAAATGGAATAGACAACAGATGGAAAGCATAGTCAGTTAGCAAGACATCCCCAATAAAGGAGTGGTTCTGCAGGTGGTAACCACAGACCACTTCTCAGTTCCTATGCTTTCTGGCTGATGGTTTGGTCACTTTTGAATGCTGGCGGTGCTTTCACTCTAGTGGTAGCATGAGACGGAGTCTACAACCCACACAAGTGGCTCAGGTAGTGCAGTTCATCCAGGATGGCACACCAATGCGAGCTGTGGCAAGAAGGTTTGCTGTGTCCAGAGCATGGAGGCACTACCAGGAGACAGGCCAGTACATCAGGAGATGTGGAGGAGGCCGTAGGAGGGCAACAACCCAGCATCAGGACCTCTACCTCCGCCTTTGTGCAAGGAGGGACAGGAGGAGCACTGCCAGAGCCCTGCAAAATGACCTCCAGCGGGCCACAAATGTGCATGTGGCTGCTCAAACGGTTAGAAACAGATTCCATGAAGGTGGTATGAGGGCCCGACGTGCACAGGTGGGGGTTATGCTTACAGCCCAACACCATGCAGGATGTTTGGCATTTGCCAGAGAACACCAAGATTGGCAAATTCGCCACTGGCACCCTGTTCTCTTCACAGATGAAAGCAGGTTCACACTGAGCACATGTGACAGACGTGACAGGGTCTGGGGACGCCGTGGAGAACATTCTGCTGCCTGCAACATCCTCCAGCATGACCGGTTTGGCAGTGGGTCAGTAATGGTGTGGGGTGGCATTTCTTTAGGGGGCCACACAGCCCTCCATGTGCTCGCCAGAGGTAGTCTGACTGCCATTAGGTACCAAGATGAGATCCTCAGACCCCTTGTGAGACTATATGTTGGTGTGGTTGACCCTGGGTTCCTCCTAATGCACGACAATGCTAGACCTCATGTGGCTGGAGTGTGTCAGCAGTTCCTGCAAGACGAAGGCATTGATGCTATGGACTGGCCCGCCCGTTCCCCAGACCTGAATCCAGTTGAGCACATCTGGGACATCATGTCTCGCTCCATCCACCAACGCCATTGCACCACAGGCTGTCCAGGAGTTGGGGGATGCTTTAGTCCAGGTGTGGGAGGAGATCCCTCAGGAGACCATCCGCCACCTCATCAGGAGCATGCCCAGGCATTGTAGGGAGGTCATACAGGCACGTGGAGGCCACACACACTACTGAGCCTCATTTTGGCTTGTTTTAAGAACATTACATCAAAGTTGGATCAGCCTGTAGTGTTTTTTTCCACTTTAATTTTGAGTGTAACTCCAAATCCAGACCTCCAGGGGTTGCTAAATTTGATTTCCATTGATAATTTTTGTGTGATTTTGTTGTCAGCACATTCAACTATGTCATCAACAAAGTATTTAATAAGAATATTAAATAAATGTGTTCATTCAGATCTAGGATGTCTTATTTTTGTGTTCCCTTTATTTTTTTGAGCAGTGTACATAGAAGTATGTGTCAGAATAAAGGGGTTGTTTACCAAGTGGTTTATAACTGAGCAGGGAGTAAGGCAAAAAGATACGTGATATCCTCTTGTTTGTTTAGCATGTTTATTAATAAATGTATAAAGGATACGTGTAGTGACAACAGAAGTATTGGTTGAGAACATTAATGTAGATGTACTTTTGTATGGAAACAAAACAATGTTGCTGGCTGAGACCTCAAGTTGTTCGTAGTGAAATTAGATAGATATTATGGTATAATGGGTTAAGAATCTAAAAATAAATGTATCACAGATCAGGATAGTTGTATGTGAGAAAATGAAATGTAGGATTGCAAAGATGAATTTGTGTACCTGGGAAGAATACTTACTAAGCATGGAAGATGAATGGGAAAAATTAAAACGTGCACATGCTGGTAGAAAAATAGGAGATAGTAATGTATGTGATCTATTCAAGGAATGAATACTTGCCAAAAGAAGTGAAAGTGCCTATGTAATATATATCTACCCACTTCCTTAAACAGAAGTGAAATTTGCAATGTCAAAGTAATTTGAATGCAGGAAAAATGGGGTAAAGTGTGTTAGTAGTAAAACAAGCATGAATGCTTGATGAATGAATGTAGATAGAATACAAAAGTGAGTGGCAGTATGTTGCAAAAGTAATATGTTAAAGTGGTTTGTTCATATAGGAGGATGAAGAAGGATCAAATTGCAAAACAAATATATGAAAGAAGAGTTACTACATCAAGAGGATTTGTGATTGCATGCTGTTTATCAAATCTTCCAAACTGAGAGTTAAGAAGTTTAAAGAACAAAAGGCAACATATGAAGCAGAGTATGGACTTCTATTCTGCCACAGTCAAGATAATCTTGGTGGTACATAACACAATTCTGGACAGAATATTTACAATAAAAGTATTTAAAAATCCATGTTGTAAAATATGTACGTGTGTGTATAGACATAATATACGTGTGTTAGTGAGGCAAGTAAGAAAGATTTCCAATAATAGAAATTTATGAATAGACTGAATTGATAATGAAATGGATATAGTTACAATGTTTTCCTTTGTTTTTAATTTCTTGTTCTAACTTATTCATCACAATTTCTGGAAAGCAAATAATGTGTACCTATGTAAAACTAAGGTTTACTTAATCTTATATTATTTGTTATTTCTTTTCCATCCCACAAGATCTGGAGTTGGTTTGACAGGATCAAAGCAGACATTATTTTACGCACAGGTAACTGATGACATGAAATCTAGCGAAGGAGGTGGCCAGCCGGAGGAAGGCGAACTGATTGAAGTTGTGGAAATACCTCTGCAAGATTCCATGAAATTTGCATATGATGAGACTTTCCCTAAAACTATGGGACTTATCTTCAGTTTCATGTGGTTCCAGTCCAACATAGCACCAAAACTGCAAGAAAAATAATGCACTAAGAGATTCTGGAGACATGAAGCAAAAAGATGGGACCATATTGGAATCAATCTTTCAGGACTGTCTAATTCTTAAGTTTGTTATAGCAAAGGTTCATAAAATTCATATGCTAACAGTGGCAGATAAGTAACTCAAGTTTAAACATGTTTTTCAGCCCATATTTTATTTCTCATAGAAAGAATTTGAGGGAAAGAAGTTTGCAATACATAAAAGTTGCCCAGTTTTATGATGAGAACTAATAGACAAACATAAATGGATAATTTATCATGAAATAATTGAATGTTGTCATGGAAAATGTAAAATCAAGAGAAGAATTGGCAAAGGATTACAATTGTTAGTGGTTACTTTATTTTCAGTTATTAAAAAGATTTAAAGTAGACAAAAGAATTTGTGGTTCTGAACATTGTAAGAATGAGTTTGAAATAGAATTGTAAACAATGATGAGCACGCAATTGCTAAAATGTATAATAGAATATCTGTAGCTCAGGGTTGACCTGTGGAGTTTTTGGTGCTCTCTAAGATTGGTGATTTGCTTGCAGATGTTTTATTACTCAACTGCCCAACATCAATTACCCAACTTCATCAATGTTTGTGAGTGAGGTTTGCTCTGTTTACATGCAGTAGCTTACTCTGCCAGTGTACATATAAAATGTATAAACATTTACTAAAATTTGAAGAAAAAAAAGAAAAATGTGAAAAATGTATAAGCGAACTAAAATTTTTGAAAAGAGTTGGCATTATCCACATGGATAAGAATAGTTGATGGAAGAATAGTTGATGGAACTTAATGAGATGGCTAAATTGACATTTTCATCAGAGAAAAGATAATGTCTATGTTTATTGCTGACTGGAAACCCTTTATGGACTTTTTGCATGAAACAGAGCTGCAATGGACCAAGAAGCCCTGAGCTGCAGCATATTTTTTCCTGATCTTCCTTCACTTGTGCTGAACTTTAGCATTCCTTTAACTCACATATGGTCTACACTGGGCCCATCCTTCTATGGCACGACACCCCCTTTAACCTGATTAACAACACACATACCTGGAGTTACAACAGTAAACAGGAACGCTGAGATGTTGCTTAGCAATAGAAATTCTATCTCAATTGTGGTCACAAGTTGAGGACTACTAGTATAGAAAGAAGAGATTATGCTGTAACCATAAAATAAAATAGTAAATTTATGTTTGTAAAGATTTGAAGCTGCTGCTTTGTATCTTCTTTCTTTTCTAGTTTTATTTTTTCCTTTCTTGCACTTTTAGCTTTCTCTTTGATTTTTTTTTCTTATTTTTTCTTACTTTGTATTAGTTATTATCTTTTTAAAATATTTAAGAAAGTTATGTTAATTTTTAAATACTTTTAAAATAAAACCAAACTTGTGCGTGTGTGTACAAAAACCTCAAAAATCATAGCTTAGGGAATTTAGAATGGACAAATGAGAAAGAGGGGAGGATGCTTAATCTTTCCCTTTCCTGCATTTTGTTTGCTTCAAAGGCACTTTGGGACAACCACTGGACTCAGTGCATTATTCACTGCAGCAGCTTCACTCTAGTGGGTACTGACCTCCCTTGACAACCAGTGCTCCTTTCAGCTGGCCAGTGGGAGAGCGCAAAACTAGGGCAGCTCCATTTGCCAACCTCACTCTTACTTTACAAGTGTTTACAGTGTGGCACCCAGAATCCAACTGGCCAATATATATCATATATATAGTCCCTTTGTCAGACTATATCGAGGATTAGGGAAGGTTACAACAGACACGTTCTTTGTAGGAGGAACAGGAGAATCTCAGGAGTTGGGGAAAGATGAGAATTCCCATCAGATGGCAAATGCTGCCCAGCTCCAGAGAAAACTCTGCAGAAGTAGTTTGTCAAATGTCCCAGGCTCGGGTTCCTTAAACCCCACAAATGGCACACAACATCATGAAGCGATCCTTATATCAAAGAGAAAAGGATATGGGCCTGGTACCAGTACCTGAGATCTGCTCATGCTTTTTTTCTGGAAGAAAATCAGTTATTGTAATTATCTAGGGTTCTTGTTGATCCTAGACTCAGCATAGCTTAGGAGGAAAAGTCCAGGCTGCTGGGGTGATTGCCTTCAGAGCACTGAGCTTATTCCAATGGCTTATTCATTGAGGACACTAGTTGAGAAAGTAATAGGTACCCTTGTCAGTGGTGTATGACCCCCTACATGCTCTATCCTAAATTATACTGCTGACCCTGTATGTTAGTTTAAACTCCACTGGATTTTCTTCCTCTGTTGTTTCACAGAAGGCCCCCCTTAATATATAACCTCATTCACTAACCAGGATTGACATTGCTTAGCATTTTTGAGATTAAACAAGGTTCACTACGGGCTGCTTGGATGACTATTATAAGAGAGGAAAGTGATAGAAGTGGTTTCTCAAGGTAAATGAGGGAGATGGGCAGTCTAGAAATGTGGAAAAAAGTTAAAATAATATCTTATCAGCTAGTTTTATTCTGTTCAGAGCTTAACAACTGCACAATAGTGATAATAATCTAGCATAGCTCTATTCCATGTCAGAAATTTCACAAGAAATTCAGTACCAGAAGCAAGGGCAACCTTTCTGTTTAACGTGTACATTAATGGTCTCAAGTATTGCCGCCTTCTGAATGTATGACATCTTCTAATAGTTTCTCTTGGCCTTTCAATTTTGAAAAGATTGGGGAGTGGGTATTATAGACAGTATTTTCTATTATTTTGACATTTGTCCGATGTTCTAGACCAGGGGTAGTCAACCTTTTTATACATACTGCCCACTTTTGTATCTCTGTTAGTAGTAAAATTTTCTGTAATCGCCCACCGGTTCCACAGTAATGGTGATTTATAAAGTAGGGGAAAAAACCCCTACCGCCCACCATGAAAGCTGGAATGCCCACTAGTGGGCGGTAGGGACCAGATTGAGTACCACTGTTCTAGACACTAAAGTTTATTTTATTTTTAGAATTAATGTTTACCATTTTAAGCTTGATCGTGTTTATTTATTTTAATGTCTTGATTTGATGTTTTAGTCATTCCACTATTTTAATTTTAAATCACATTAAAAACTTGATCAAATTGAAACATAGGATATTATAAGCATTCACAATAAAAACAAATGGTATGGCATGTTCGTTATTCTCATAAATAAAATGGTTTTTTTTTCTCTTCATTTCCAAATTAAGACACAGGGATCATTCATCTGACAGCTAAAATTATGCTTTAACTTTAGAACTGCAACTTTCAGTAATGCTGTGAAATGTGCCATGACTGTAGGCCCTGAATAGAACAGCCATCCTTCAAAGCAGAAGAAATCTAAATTATCTTCAAATGAAAGCAAAGCAAAGCTTCTCCTGATCTCAAATGTGCTGTTCACTCACTGCATTAGCATTAATTACCATAGCAATGCTATCTGTGTCAGGAGGATGATTTAAAATGCATGTTCCAAAGCAACTTATCTCCAGAGATGTGCTGTACAAGAGACAGACATTCTTCAGTAATGCTGTCAGCTGAGGCCGTCCCTGCTCCACTGGTATTCTGTGGCTGATAGCAATAGTTGATTGGCTTTACTCAGCACTGAATTAAAGCCCACAGTAATGTGCAGGATCATATTCCTATCACCAAATATAGTCAGCATCTACAGGATCTATATTGTGTGTGTGGAGGGGGGGATATTTCTGAGGCATCAACATGTAGGTTTCTTGGGCATACATTGAGCATACATTGAGATATTTCTTGGGCATCCACTGAGTTTATAATAGAATCAGGTATTCAGTGTGGTACTTGCAGGAATTGTAATTTCTGAATTTAAAAGTAAATGTGATTTACCACATGCTTTAAAATGAACACATGCCATAGTCACATTATAATGCCCTGGACTACATGACACATGGCTGCTTTGCTTCACAATGCCTTGATGCTGCCCCTTCTGTCTCAGCTTGGAGGCGAGCAAAAAGCCATTTCAACATGGGGTGTTGCTCTAATTCCTCCCAGAAAGTGAGAAGTTGCTTTCCAGAGCTTTACCAACAAGCCACTTTGTCAAAATCTTGAAAAAAAGGTTCCCCTCATAGTGCTTTGCTTGTTATATGTTTTTCAATGACAATAACGGTCCATGCATTGGCAGAGTTTGCAAAAAGTTTTGCCCTATTTATATGGTTCAGTCAGGAGTGAAACATAACCCTCTTCCCAATAAAGCATGCCCAATTATAAATTTCTTCTTCCCACTTGAAGTCAAAGAAGATTTTAAAAATATTCCCAAATAGATTCTATAATTTAAAAGAAACTCCACAATAAAGACTGCAACAGCTCTAGTCTAGGTACAAAAATTTCAGTCACTGGGGGAAAGTCATCAAAATTGAATGGGAACAATTGAAATATTGAGAGATGCATAATATCAAGAGAATGGATAAGAGAATGCATTTTATGCCAATCAGCAAAGGTCCATGCAAACAGGATTTTATACATATCCATTGCTGCTGATATCCCATCTCTGGAACCAATACAAATAATATCCTGTTATGCAGACTGATTAAGTTTACATAACTCTAGTGTTATTATTGGCCTTCCATTAATTTTGGCCCTATTCCAAATAAACACATTCATTATTAGAAAAGGGCCTAACAGCACATAGGTAGCTAATTTTAAGAATATTGGAGACCAATTCTTAGTCCTGTTTTCTGAATGCTATTTAGTAAGTTAACCTCTGGGGAATGGGTGTGGGAATAGACAAATACAATTTAATTGGCTTAAGGTGATAAAATCCTTGTCTCATGCCTGGACAAGACCAGACCATAGTTTTGTTCTTATGCTTGACTGAGGGGCATTGAATTAGATATATCAGAGTGAGCATACACAACTTTGCACTATGATTTCCCATTTCTGCAACCCAAAATCCATGTGTCATCAGCTGTCCAGAGTTGTTCCCAAAGTTTGTTATCATGGGCTAAGAGAGAGAGAGAGAGGGAGACTGGCCTAAAGTTACCCTTCCATACCTACGGTGGGACTAGAATCAGGTGGGCTGCTGGGGGTTCCCAGGGGCTCAGGTGATCCCCTAGCTAAGACTCTGCAGGGCTCAGCAAGCCCCCAAACCCACTTCTGGCTGGCCCCGCCCCACCCCACTCCAGTCGCCGGAGCCTTCGCACAGGAAGGAAGCAGCCCTGTATCTGCCTTTACGCCACGTTTGCGTGTAAAGCAGCCTTCGCTTCCCACTGATTCGGGCTGGAACTCGTGCCCATCGCACTCAGTCAAAGAGCTGCTGGGGGAGGGGGGAAACAAGACAAGGCAATGGCCAGAGCCTTAGTGCAGAAGCGAAGTGGCCCTATGCTGTTTTCCATCATGAAAAAGGGAATTCCGTGAACTATAGTAATGGTGGGATACCAGAAACCCTAATTTGCTAATGACATGGCTAACTAATGAAAATTGATGGAGTATTTATATATACTTTACCACAAAACATAAGCAGCATCACCAGGTCACAGTCACACACATTGCAGAACTCATAAAAGAATTATGGTTCCTGGCTGCCAAAGGATTACAACTTATAGCAGGTCCAGCCAAGTGATTGTCCAATGCCTGGACTCTTTGCAGGCCTGGGTTAACAAAATAGGACTTAATACTACCAAGATCAAGTGGCTATGGATATTAGGGCCTCCTGGACCCAAGGATTGTCCAGCTCAT